TTTCTCTTCTCCCCATTTTAGGTAGATTGCAGTGGTTTAATCCCATACTAGGTATTGGAGAAGACAGGAATTGACTGTTGAGCCCCAATCAGTGATAGAACAGCTGTTACTGCTTCTAAAGGACCACAGTCTGACCTCACCATGATGAACATTCATTATGTCAGTGTTCACGATAATAGTTGGCTGAATCAGCATGAGAAAATGCTCCTTTCAAGATGGGCAGCAGCTTAGACAATAGTGTCACAGTGACTGTTACTCAAAATCCAATTTAGAGGAGGAAATTAAAAAATCAAGGAAGAGACGTGCTTATGTGGTGAAGGGAAGACTTAGAAGATCATGTGGGAAAATATTCTAGTGTCCGGGTCAGCCCCAAATAAATTTCCCCTCTGGTAGGCTGAATCTCCCATGGAAAAATGTCATACACTCTCGAGATTGTTATAATTCTGGGTTAATTGTAGATAGTTGTTCTTAGAATGAAGTTGGACTATATTTTTTTCCCTGCTAACCTTTTAACAAGCAAACATTATTTAAAATCTTAATTAAATCTGCTTTTTATTCCACATTTCTCCGTTTCGTAGTCAGAAGGGCACACTAGATCTATGTAAGTGTTTACTATTAGGTTTATGTGTGAACATAACCATTCTGTTTAGCTGACAGATATTAATTTGGGATTTACTTTGATTTAGATGTTACCATGAGATCTTCACACTTTCATACCTCTGACACATCCATATCCACCCAGTTTCTTCCACTATGTCTTCATGGAAGACACTGATATAGCAATGACTGAATGTCCCTGGGGATTAAGATACGCAAACAAATGCTTCCAGGTTTCTAACAGCTCTTCTGTTTTTTCACTTGATGCTGTTTATCCTCTTTGCACTTGGAACAATGCAGTGAAACTGTCCAGTTTCACTCTTTAGGGTGTAGTGTGGTGATACTGTTTTATTCAAGTATCTGATAATGCTGACAATTCAAACAGATATATCCAGGCCCAAATGTTAATACTTGTCATATTGTTTTTAATGGGGTGGGAGGATGGGTGAAAGGCAATGCTTATCTTGCATGTGAGCTGCTTGGCTTTGCGGCTTCTGTAATTCTCTGAATTTCTCCTGGCTGCTTTAGAGAAAGAAGTGGGGAAAGGAAGGACAGGAGAGAAGAATTGTTGTGTACAGAAAAAGAGATAGGAGCTGGTCAGTGCGAGTTTGTGGTTGCTGACCTTTTTGCTTCCTTCTAAAACTTCTGGTCTAATAATGTTTAACTTGTTAACAGCTTTTCTATTTTAAAAGTGTAAGAGACTGACTTTTTTTAAAAGAACTTATCAAGATGAGGAAAACCAGAAGTAGATTCCTCAGTTTGCTAGGGTGTGCTTTTACTTTGCTCACAGGTATTGCTCAGAGGTTAAAATGGTAGACTTCCTTCTCTTTAACTCAGCCAGAGCTGGGTTTTGTGAAAGCAACTTATTGTATGCATAATTTCTGGAGTCTGCAAGTAGTGTGCAATCGCTTGTACGGCAAGAATAGGCTGCATCTCTTTCTTCTGGGGGGGGGAGCGAGGGGAAGGCCCCTCTTGATGTCTTTGTGTGAAAGCTGGAACTTCTGTGTTACTAGCTCTACATGAAAGTTTTGAGTTATTTGGAACAGATTTCTTACACTAAAGCAAACATTTCCTAGTTTTGTTGTGTTTTTAAAAAAAAAAGGTGTGGATTTGATGCAGTATGTAGGTGAGCAGCCTTATGAAAGGAGACTTGAGTTTGTCTCCCCGTGCATCACATGGTATCCCTTCCCAGTGCTGCTCTGTCCAGCTCATCTGTGTTGGTGGGTTAGTATGGCTTAGCTAAAGCATTTAGACTTCAGATGATTATCAGTATGCAAAACTTTGACTAACCTTTGCTATCTCTGGAATTTTGTAAACCAGTTTCCCATAGTCTGGCTATAGATCTTGCAAAGGAACAAAAATGGATGTTTATTGGCAAAGCAGAAAGGTTATAGCCCAGGTAAAAACAAAGGGAGAAGAGTCAACAGGATGTCTGTTGTTTGATCTAGACTGTCTTTGGGATGTTCGCTATTTTTAAGCATTCTTCCTGTGAACCTTTTTGAACTCCCTTTCTGCTGAGAATTTCTGAGACGGGCATGCAGTTGCAGATGCTAAAAATCCAGGTATTTTCCTGTGTTAGTAGAGCACACTGTACAAAAACATTTGCAGCTTTTCTGCTTACAGAAGACTGCTCATCCCTTTTGTGTGGCTAAGTGAAACTGAAATTTTCATGCTGTGAGAGTTAAGTGTGATATAGCCTGTACACCCAGTGCTTGAGAACTAGGGTTTATTTTAGTTTGTACTTGTTCTTGATGTGCAACTGTGAGCCAGTCTTAATAGAAGACACTTGCCTTGCAAAGTGTTTCCTGTGTCTGTTGAATAGCTGTTACCAGGTTCAGCACTGTGACTGTTGAGTGGGACTTGGTATTTGGAAGGAGATCTTGCCTCCTTGGATTGTTACCACTCTAAAAGCCTGTCTTTTAAAGCCGCATCTGTGACGTTAACTTGCAAGTATCATTGCAGTTCAGTAGCACTTTATTCTTGTTTAGTCATTTCAATAAGCATCTAATCTGAATTTGCATTGTTTGAGTTCTGAGCTGAAAATACAGATGTTGGAAATCCAGAAAGGTGCTCCATACTTACTCTTTGTAAATTCTGCAAGTGTTACGTGTGCAGCAACTTCATGAACAGGCCATGAGATTAGTTTTTTTAGTTGTCTAGAAGACCACCACCAGTGAATGTCCATAACTATGCCTGGCAGGTTGATGAGCTTACAATAGATAGCAATTATCCTGTTACCCTGGAGGTGTCTTATCCTGCATTCAGATCCCATCACACAGTTTTCTGTGGCATTTTATTGTGACAAGTTAAAAATCTTATTTTAGAAGCTAGAAGTGTAATTGATCTTTCAAAATCAATGCCATTGGTAAGTCCAGTCTGGAAAATTGTAGTGGCTCTTGTGAGTTAGCCGTTGCATCCTGTTCTAGAGGGATCTAGTCTGCAGTGGTGTTCCATGAGGAGGCAGGAACACACTTCTGTTTCAGGCATTTAGCTGTTTGCTACAACACTTGAAAGTCCCAGATTTCCATGCATAAAAGGTTCAACTGCTGAGCTATCAAAGGAGTTTTGTCTTCATTTTGTTGCATGATCTGCTGCATTGTGCACTCCTGCATGTGCAGAGAGGTTTGAGTGTTGGTTTTCTTGCTTTTTGTGAGGAGTTAGTTTTATTTCTCTGTTGCTGTGCATTAGGTACAGCTTATTTGTAAAGTAAAACAAATTTACTTTGGTGTGTTCTGGCATTATGACTTATGTTTCTGCTTTCCCACAGTTTTTAACATTGGCATTTTTTTATTTGTTTGTTTGGAAGCAGAAAGCTGCAGGAAATCCCATGTAAATAACTGTTCCATGCTTTAAGCCTTCCAGATCATAGGTTGAGCTGATTGGAGCCAGTTTGCTAAGGCTAGTAGAAAAAGGTCTTTGAAATATGTAGTATATATTTAGTTCCTTAAATTCAGCTTCTGTGCACTGATCTATAAAGTCTGAATGTTTGAGTCTTGAATTTAAAGACAGATTGTTCAGCAAGTTCAGACACTTTGTAGAATGCTTTTTTGCAGCAAAAGAAGCCTGCAAGTCTTCTCAAATCAATATTGGTTTATGAAACTATAGCAGAAGGGGCCTAGTGCTATTTGATTAAGGGCCAGAACAAACCTATTATTCAAAGACCCATGTTAGTATAGATGGGCTCAAACCTAACTACTGCTGTCATTGAATGTAGGACCACCACCTGTGCCTGAAGAAGAATTCTCATTTAAATCCAGCTTTGATTATATAAAAAGTTAAATTGTAGTTCGTTAAAGTTGTGGATTTTTAAGAACTCCAGGGCAATATGGAACCCAATGTAATCTCGCATTACAGCATATTTGAAAACAATTTGGTATTGGGAGACCATTTCAAGCTGGTGCTGTTGTGAATGAAGGCAATAGCACTCATACTTTAAAGTTAAGCAGGGTTGTCTGCTTCTGTGTTTTAAAAGTGGCAGATGTCATAGTGTAGGCTGGAGGCTTGCTTGATAGGCTTGAGGCTTCTCTTGCTTCTCACTTACCATCTAGGAACGAATGCAGACAGGCTTTTTTCTGCCAGAATGCTCCGGTTCTGTTAAGTTTTAGCACTTAAATACGCATGTCCTTTGTTTGAGACTTTATTGTCTGGAAAGTCAAGACCTGCTGTATCAAACTTGGTCTACTGAGTATGTGCTGTCTGCATCTCTGAGTGGACTACTCAGAGAGATGAAAGGTGGTTCCTGTTGGTACAGCACTGCCTGACTTGATGCCTCTCAGAAATAGTTACTGTTAGGCTTCACGTTCTGCAGGTCTGACCTACTTAACAATTACTTTCAGATATGGAGGTCAAAAAAGAAAAAAAATCCTTTCCTCGCTGCCAAACAGATATAATTGTATTGTCTCATAACTGTGTTATTCCTGCCTGTGGTAAGATGAGTTAAAGTTAGTAAAATCATACTGAGTTCATTGAAGGGTTAGATCTGTCAGCAAACTGGTGCTGAATGTGCTGTTTCAAACTGCTCCCTTTTAGTAACAGCACTTGTGTAGGCTTGAAAAGCACAGAAAAGCAGCAATGTCTTGTTGTCTAACCTACAGCACTGGGATCATTTGTAGAAGAGTCCACTTGAATGGTTCAGGTGCAGTGGTTGAGGGAATACTTTCTGCCCTGTTTTTGTAAAGAGGTTTACTTTATCCTTTTACCTAGTTGTTGTGAAAAAATGGAATTCAGTTTTTTGGGTTTTTTTTTTCTCCTGGTTAATAGAAATAATGAAGTGCAGGAAGAATGTAATGTTATTATTATAGAGTGTGTGTATCCTTGGGAATTTTCAAGCAAATTATAGGTATTGCCTTTTGCCATAGCTTCCAGTCATTCATTCTGTTACTTTATGTATTCTCCATCTGTAGATACCTGCTTGAACAAGACTTTCCAGGCATGCGAATTGGTCCAGAGCCTACCACGGATTCTTTTATTGCTGTGATGTATGGAGATGCAGAAGGAAACGTTCCTGGAAATGCCTTAGTTGTTGATCCTAAGAAGCCGTTCCGCAAACTCAGCCGCTTTGGAAATGCTTTCCTGAACAGGTGAGATCTCTTTGCTTGCTGTCTTTTGATTTTTATATTTAAATTTCTACTTGTTACCATCTTCAAGCATCAATGTATTTTACTAAGTTTTTTCTGCTGTATTTGTTTTGAACAGCATGGAATAAATATTCAAATACAAGGAAGAGTGGTGGCAGTTCAAGTGAATTAAAAAAACAAAAACCAAAAAAAAACCCCAAAAGCAGTACTAGGTAGGATAGCACTGGCACAGATATGTTCTGTTAAAACCAGCTCACAGAAAATTGCTGAAATAAATGCTCCACCAGCTGACTTGTTTGTAAGGCATTACACCAGCTGGAACTCAGGATTGGTTTGAGCACAAATTCTCCTGCTCAACAAAACTGATAGATTAATACTGTTATTGAAAACTACCATCCAGAAAAGGAAAAAAAAAAAAAAAATCCCCCTTTGTTGCTGGCTTGTTCCTTTCTGCTGACATCACCAGAGGTCTTGGAATAGCTCTTTAAAATTGTGAATTGCTGTGATACATAAAAAGGCCTACAAGAATGGAGAATATTTGAATATTCTTTCTGGATAAATAGATATTCAAGCTGTTAAGTGTTTAATTTTGACTAACTGGTCTTCAAGCAGTCCCATAGACCAGGATGATAGCGTTAGCTTCTGGATGGCTGCTGTGTATTTGCAAAAAAAAAAGAGGAGTTGTTCAGGGGCTGTGAATATTGCCATAGGTAACTTAAGTAGCAGGCTAAATATTTCCAGTTAAAAGTTAATAATAACTGTGTTTGCATTGTGTGAGCAATCAGCTTGTTTTCTTCCTGTATTTGATGGTAGCTTGACATGGAGGCCTGGCTTTGCAAGCAAATTAATCTAAATTGGTTCTCTTTTAACAAGAAACTTTCCTGTTTGGCTGATAAACACTGGCCTATGTGTTAAAAGTTCTTCATGTACAGTCTTATCTCTTACTGTGCTTATTCATAGAAGAAAGTTTATAGCTGCTTGTAGCTGGCTTGGCTATCGCTTTGCTGAGAGATAAGAATATGTGCTGTGGGAAACTGCAGTCAAGTCCCATTTTAAATAGTAATTCTGTGGTCCAAGACCCCTTTCAGTGAGATGATTAGCCAAGTCCTGTCCCCCAGATCACTATTCTGTTTTTTCTCTTTGCCCACCATTGTGCTCTCTACAAAAAGTTCATATAATTATACCGTCGATAGTATTTTGCATAATATTCAAGTATTTACACAGAATATGCAATAGTGCTATGTGTTTGTTTGGATGAATGGTATACATATAACTTTTTGGCTAAATCATCCGTCTAGCTAGTTGTGTCAGGTCCTGAATCTTACGCAAGGAATATTGTTTGCTAGCTAAAAAGATGTACATTCAAAGTAACTGACTGAATTATTCCAGTTCTTTTGGTGACTGTGATATTGTTATATTGCAGTGCTGTGAGCAACCTTATCTTCCCCAACAGTCACGTTTGCTCCTTAGTTTTTCAGTGGAGATCTAGGTGCTTATATTCCCCTAGCATCACCCTCAATCTGCCACTTTGATCATATTGCTGCTTTTTCAAAAGTCATCAACTCCTTTCTGTTTTCTACTTCACCTAGTTGAAAATGTGTTAGGCTTCAGCTCAGTACCTTTGAGTAACTTCCCACTGTTCTTACCGGCAGACATACTATGTATTTTACTCTGCCTTCTCTCATTTGCCGTGCTGACAATCCTTTATATCCAGTATTATGTCTTTCATTCCTGTCTTAATAGATTTTTTGCTACTCCCTCCCCCTCACCCCTGCTTTTTTAAAAAATTATTTCCCAATCCTAGTGCATTGCTTTATGGAAGAACTTAAGGCTATGGACACTTGAACAGCGAAGTTAAGTGCCCTTTTCATCTAAATGTAACATGAAAGGAAATAGTGGCTGAGGTAATGAAGAAACTAAAAACGAACAAGAACACTAGCATAATCAAGGTTTGTAGCTAGTAATTAGCCACATTAATTTAGTGATGTTACCTTTCTTCTTTTTTCCATGACCCCTTCTTATTTCCCCCTGTATCTCCCTGCTTGTGATAGGTTCTCTGTAAGGCTCCTGAGTATAGAAACTTGAGAGGACCTAGAGTGCACTTGGATGCTGGTTAAAGTAAGTGGGGAAAGAATATTGCAGTATACCAGAAGATCACAGGAGTAAATTCGTGCTGCTGAGAAGAAACATGTGGTCGTGCTCTATTCTCATGGCTGTCTGAACAGACACAAAAAGGAGTATAAATTCTTACTAAGTTCTTTAAGTCATCCAAAGTTAATTAAAAAAATAAAACCAACAGATGATTACAAAGTTGTTGATTTCATTTTTGCAAACAATGTAATTTATTTTTGCAAGAGTAGTCTGACAGTGCTGGTTTTCTTTAACAATAGTTTTATAATAATATGAAGAATGACAATATCAAAGGTCTAATGTGTCATAAGCAGTTACAGTCATCTCATTCACTTAACTATTTTTATAAAGATTTTTTGTGAAGGTCCAGTGTTGTTAAGGTAGATGGTATGTAGTTTTGCTTCTTATGAGGTAGAACTTAAAAATCACACTTCGTACAGGTCATGTAAGAGTAGTGGTTCGGAGCCAAATCTCAATGTCAAAAGATATATTCAGGTACAATTAGCGTTATGGTTTTAAGTTGTCTGAAATACCAGTTTGATGTAAGATTTTTAACCCATCTGTTGCCTTTAGATTATGGATATATTCTACAAGCTATAGCCAGTTAATTCTGAGTTTATCCTTCTATTTCGTATTCTTTTCCTATGTATTTTCCTGCTCCCTTTGCCACCAATGACTGCTGTGAAGACTGCAATGTCTTTCCATTTCTGAGGCCTGCAGTTCTCTTATTTTCTTGCAAAGCCTTTTCCAGCTGTCCCAGTTTGGGTGATGCCTAAGTCAAAATACTGCTGTATTGTTCAGCTGAAATAATAATGCCTGTTGTCTTGTAAGATAGGCCTAGAATCATCTCAATGATACTAAACAAGTGCTGGGCTTTCTAAAGTGAAATAGTGTTTAAAAAAAAAAAAAGAAAGAAAATTCAGTCTGTACACCATTCCAAATTTATGAAAGCTACTTCATGTTGTACACACTAGTGATATATATTTTTAAGGCTGACATGGTCAAATGTATTTTCTCTGTCACTTATGCACATGCGTTATACTTGCACAAAATGTTTGCTTTAGCTTAGTGTCTTCTTTAGGTTTTCGAAGGTTTTTTTTAAAAAAAAAAAGTTATTTTATTCAATAGTGCCTCCCTACTCTTCCAAAAGCATCTCTTAAAAAGATGAAACTTAGTGGAAAAGTTTGCTTCAGGATATGCAGTATTTTCTACACCTGATGTTCTGCTGAAAAAAAAACAAAAAAAAACCCCCCCCCCCCCCCCAAAACCAAAAACCATAAACCCACAACAACCCAAAAAAAACAAAAATAAAAATAAAACCAAAAAAGCCCCCACACCCCACCCCCTCCCAAAAAAGCCCCCACAACAAACACACAAAAACCCAACAACAAAACAAAACCAGAAATGGTAGTGCTGTTTATGTACCCTAAGGTGTTATCAGGCCAAGATGCTTGCTGTTTCCTTATTGCCTCTTGGGTTTCGGGGAGGGGCGTAGCTGATGCTGCTGTTTCTGTGATACTCAAGAGGGGATGCTGTGTGCTTTTGTTACAGACTCATTACACCTCCCTTCATCTTATTTTTCAGGTGACCTTGTAGTAAGAATTTTTTTCTTCCTGGTTTCCTTTGAATTATCTGGATCATTATCTCATGATAGCTTCCAAATTTTGATGTATCTTACATTTTGTGTGTAATATTTGACTACCTGAACTCTTCCTAACTCAGATTATCTTTAGTCTTAAAGTTCTTGTTTGACCTTGGTATGGTTAACACTTGCTGTTGGGGATACTGTATTTCTTGAGATGGTGTGCCTTCTAAAGGGATGCAGGGCAGCCATCTTACGGCCTGAGCCTGCAGCTTAACCCTATGCTAGGCTGCCTTGGGGAGAAGGGCCACTGAGCTCCACAGCCTCACAGGAGGAGAGGGTAGGTATCAGCTGCTACCTGATAAGAAGATTAAACTCCTATGCAAATCTCTTAAAAGCAGTTTGTAATGAAGGGAGGTGAAGTTCTTCAGTCATGAACTATTCCAGAAGAATCTGAGTAGTTTGGATTTGACACACAAAGTGTTCTGCATAACTATCAGAAGCCTCGTGAATGATTAATTTTTCATAATACCACCACTGAATTTGTGTCCCATCAAAGAGTCAGGAGCTTATTGTTTAGAGCCTGCTGGGTGTAACTTGAACTCTTGGTTCTGGCAGTGTGAAAGCTTTTACTCAGTTTCACAGGATCACAGAATGTTAGGGGTTGGAAAGGACCTCAAAAGATCATCTAGTCCAACCACCCTGCCAGAGGAGGGCCACGTAGAGTAGATCATACAAGAATGTGTCCAGGTGGGTTTTGAATGCCTCCAGAGAAGGAGACTCCACAGCCTCTCTGGGCAGCCTGTTCCAGTGCTCTGTCACCCTCACAGTGAAAAAGTTTTTCCTTATGTTAATGTGGAACCTCCTGTGCTCTAGCTTGCACACATTGCCCCTTGTCCTGTCATTGGCCATCACCAAGAAGAGCCCGGCTGACACTCGCCCTTTACGTATTTATAAACATTGATGAGGTCACCCCTCTTCTCCAAGCTCAAGACACCCAGCTCCCTCAGCCTTTCATCGTAAGGGAGATGTTCCACCCCCTGAATCATCTTTGTGGCTCTGTGCTGGACTCCTTCAAGCAGTTCCTTGTCCTTCTTGAACTGAGGGGCCCAGAACTGGACACACTATTCCAGAGGAGGTCTTACCAGGGCAGAGTAGAGGGGGAGGAGAACCTCTCTCCACCTACCAACCACACACCTTCTAATACACCCCAGGATGGCATTGGCCTTCTTGGCCATGAGGGCACATTGCTGGCTCATGGTCATCCTGCTGTCCACCAGGACCCCCAGGTCCCTTTCCCCTACGCTACGCTAACTGGTCAGTTTGTAGGACAAATACTGTTGTTCTCAGTCTTCTGCAAGCCCCATCTAAGAGCGTGGTGGGTTTGAGGCTGGGACTGCTCAAACACTGCTGGAGCAGGTGAGAGGGTGACTTGCCAGTAACTGGAATATAAGCGCGTCATGTATGTTATATAAGTATGGCTTTTTGCCTGCTTCCCTCTTCTTTTGAATCTCTTTGAATTTGGGCAAAAGTTGGGAGTACATTAATTGTTTCTTGTGTATACTAATTTTAGTCCTAGCAAAATTTTGTTTTATGCAGACTTTTTAATGTTGCGTGTATGGCTTATGTTGTCAGCTTTTGCAAAATCTGGAATTTTATCCAAATTGGCACTTAGAAGTGTGATTTTGCAGGCTTTCTTGTTTTTTCTTTTTTGAGAAGCTCTGTGTTTACGTTTTGTTTTCTTAAACATGTACAGTTGCTGAACATATGGGTTCATTAGGACTTAAGAAACTTTTTTTTTTTTTTGAAATCTCACTCAAGTCTTTCTAAAAGCAGATACATAAAGGGGAGCTCTCAAGGGACAATCTACAAGTCAGCTAGAGCTATTGTTAATGTTTTTTCTCTACTCCTTTCCTGCAGGTTCATGTGTTCTCAGTTACCTAACCAGGTACTGAAGAGCATCAGTATTATTGACAGCCCTGGCATTCTCTCTGGAGAGAAACAGCGCATCAGCAGAGGTGAGTTGCAGGGCTTGAAAATAACCAAACTCCCTAACTGTTTTTGCTGTACTGGACAAGTCATTGTCTTAGTCTATTGGGGGCCTGTTTTTAGTGGTTTTGAGTGGTGGTGTGTTCCAAACTTCCTTACTGCAAGGCCTATTAAACCCATATTTTAAGGCTGGAAGTAGGGTTTGGAATTTTTTCGCTCGAAAACTGGTGGGGTGGGGATTTCTATCATCCTGCTGCTATGCTGCAAATAGTGGTCTGTTGACTAATTAGTGCTTTGACACTCCTGAGGAAAAAGCCTTATTTCCATAATTTTGATGGCTTTCCACAAAGTAATAATGAATAGATTCTTACATATACTACTGAAGTTCATGAATGAGGAAATGTTTCAAAATAGTTGTAGCTTTTTCAGGCTGGTCATGTTTAAAAACTGAGGGATTTGGGCTATAAGGTGCATTTATTGTAGGCACAGCTGCTACTGTTGCTTCTTAGGGTTGTTTAGTCATGTTATAATATAATTTTCAGTCAAAAGAGTTAAGGTAGCAGGAGGAAGAGGGAATGAGAATTTTTTAATAAAATGAAAATTCTGTGAAGAACTGAACCCTGTTTTTAACATGCTGTTTAAGAAATTAGTCTGTCTTTGAGAAACTATTAAAACAAAACAGTGTGATGTAAATAACTTTCTCCCTTGTTTCCTTCAGCTGCATTTAAGTGCATGTCAGAGGTTTCTGTAGAGTTGCAAATGGTAGTGATCCATTGTGTGGTTTATGCTGCCTTCTGATTTAAGAAATGGAAACTTGGGAGGGGGAAAGTACTTGGTTCTTTAACATATCACAACTGAAGTTTTCTGAGCAAATCTTGGAATGAGCACAATATATGCCAGCTCTGCAACCACAGTCTTGTCTTTACCTTGCACTGAGAGAATATGAGACTAACTTAAGACTAGTCTAAACCATGATGGCTTAGTTAACTGGTCTCCTAGATGTTTCTGGATTCTTTGTTCAGTGTCTGAATGTGGTTTTTGTCCTCTTTATTGCTCATATAGTCATGTAAAGCATTTATCATGGGGAGAGCTGTGTTTTCCCATGTGAATTGGTGAACCGGTAGAGATGAACAGCAGTAAGAGCTCTACATCTGTGCCTGCGAAGGCTTCAATGTTGCCAAACCAGATGAGTGAAACAAATACTGCAAGTTGGCACAGTATTTCTAGGCAGAAACGACCAAGTGTATAACTAATCGTCTTTAATCTTCTCATAATATGTCCACAAAATATTTAAGTCTCATTTTACACAGAGTTTGATAAAATCAAAGGTGGTCTTAAATATCCTACTTCTGCTTCAGCATTTTGGATTTCAGCTCCCTTTTTCCTCCACCAAGAAAAGTCAGGCTTATCTTTCTCCCTCTCTGCATCTTAAATCAAGGGAAAGTGATGCTTGGCAGCACTCAAGTGTCTGCTGCCACTTCTATAACACTATAGAAGTGAACATGAAATAAGCAGAAAACTAGAGCATCATCTTAATATGCCACTGAAAAAGTAAGCAATTGTGTGACAAAATTCAACACCGTTAGGGATTGCTGTGGAAGTCCCAGACTTCACGTGCAGGACAGTTGTGTTTCACTCCAGGTTGTGTTTCACTGGTAGTCCTGTGTTGCTTAAAGGACCGTGGCTCTTCACTGCCGTCTGGAATTGCTCTTGTAACGTAACGAAACATATGACTGCTGTTCCATTATTGCTCAGAATTTTTGATGGTATGTGCTTTATCAGTTGTTTTTATGGCCTAGCTGGCCTGCCCTTTCATATGCTAGACTCTCATCTAAGTTGACGGTGCTCAGTCATAACCTCCAAATCTTATCTGTTTCACGTGCTTTAGCTTGACTAGTTTGCATTTCATGAATTTTTTTTCAATGTGTTAAGGATTGTCTTGAATATGTAACTTGGCATAGCTCTTTTATCACAAATGAGGTTCTCCTGTATGCTGTTTAGCTTTAACCAGTGTGGTTGTACCATAAATAAGGTTTAGGGAGTCAGCTTTAGAGCACTGTTCTCTCTGTGCCCCAGGCTTGCAGGGCAACTGCTGACAAGATTTAAGGTTTCATATACGTAGGCATCAGCATACATGAAGTACCTACAAGTCACTGTATGGACCTGTTGCATGCACCTGTTGCATGCTCTTATGATTAGGAAATACTGCGCTCATCCTTGTCTGAGATATTGCATAGTCAGATAAATTTCCTGCATATGACTTTTGGGCTGCTTATGCAGTTTCCATACAGGTGGTTTTGAAGAGTACAAACTTAACTTGTCCTGTGGTGCTACACGCAGCAAGGCCTGTCTGACCTGCTTCCCAAAGGACTTGGACCGACTTTAACATATTTATGCTACAAGTCTCATTTAGCACATTTTGAAGTTCAAGTTGGTTAGATTACTTTTTAAATTGCTGTGTGCAAAAGTAAGCAAGATTCTACAAGATGGTTTCTGCTGTCCCTAAATGTGTTGCAGAAGGTTCTGTTTGTACACCTTCAGACCAACAAAGGTTTTTTCCTACAAAATGTGTGTTGTTACCCCTTAAATTCACTGGCTGCTTCTCACTGAAAAAGGTTGTAGCTGGTGTGCTTCACTGTGGGAACTGCGATTTACTTTCAACTGTGAAGGTGATTACAGACTTGAGCATAGGGATGCTTTTCTATGTTTGCTGGAAGGATCTAAATATACAGGGTGATTCTTCAGAATTTCTTTTCTGACAATTTCACAATTTCATATTTCAAAATTTTATAGTTCAGCAAATTTTTTAAGTTTTCGGTTTCTTTCTGTTTCTCTCTTAAACTTTTATTTTTCTTATGAACCTTGCTGCTATTTTCTAAATAGTATATACAAGATAAGATTGTCATAATTCAGTAATGGAATATGTCATTTAATAACACCTGATAAGTATTCTTAGATGCTTTCTATTCTGCACATTATTGGTTCATCAGTTCATAACTGAGTTTTTAAATTACCTTTCTAGAAGTTTAGCTTGTTTCTAACATTGGTGAGCATCAATTTTTCTTATTGGTGAAGTTTTAACGTGTTTGATGGAAGAACAACATTACAGGACCTCAGTGTAAAACCTTCACTGTGCTGGTTTTTTCCATCTTCCTCTGAGCAACTGTTTCAGTATTTACCTATGAATGGATGTAACACCTACATAATGATAGAATTTGACAGGTATCACTAGGAGTAAGGTGAAGCCTTTTGAGACCAACAAAGCAATCAAATGTTAACTTTCAGTTTTAAAATGCAGGAAAACAGTAAAGGGACTATGTGAAAAATACAGGATAGGCACTACTTCCCAAGATGTTTTATTTATAACTCTGGAAAGCATCCAGGCCACAGACGAAGGAGCTGATTGCTTTCTGAAGTGTCAAAAATATGCAGAGTGCAACGATCAAAGCTGCCTCTCTTGACACACCTTTCCCGCTCCTGTTGTAGACAAAGGGATGTGCCAGAAGCTTCATGCCAGTCAGTTCAGGGGCTGCATAAGTGTCTGGAGGAGAACGTGCAGACATGTGTCAGCATTGTCCCTGGTCAGTGGGACCCCAATGCCCATCCCTGTGCTGCTTCTGCAGCATCACTGGTGACGTTAACAAAGCCTGCATCAGACATATGTGCATATGGTCTGTAAGATATGGATGCAACGATGAGCATGAGGATAAGAGGAAGGAGAAGCAACGTCTGTCAGTGTGTGAAGAGGAACTGCTTTTTGAAAGGGAGGGGTTGTTTGGTTCATGATTGAGTGGCGTGAAGGCAAGGGTTTTGAGAAGTATGGGGAAAGAGCTCAGAGGAAAATGGGGGATAACGGTTAGCTTGCATTTTTAGAACTGGAGTTGCTTAAATACAGGTAACTTTCTCAGTTCAGTCTGGCTTGTGAAAATGTAGTCATGGATTAAGTAAGGTGATGGACATAGTTGCGGCATTGTGTCAGGGTTCCCCTCACAGTGAGACACTGTACATTCTCTTTAGGATTAGTCCACCAACAGGAGTGCAATAAGTGCGTTATCCAGAAGTGGTGGATGGAGACAGGCTTTCATTAACATAACTGGAAACTTCCACCCCAGACAGCAAAAAACGCATCTTTCCATGTGGGACTGAGCTTCATTTGAAAGATTTGGACAGTTTAGATGCTCACCTGTGGCAAAGCATTAGAAGAACAGCAGATGGACAGGGGGAAAAGGATGCTCTTGTCCACATCCAACTTTTGTCTTTTAGCCTTGATTATGTAGGACTGGCAGGTGGGATCGCTTCAGCACTCTGCCCACCCCTGATTCATCTGGGATATTGTTCTCTGAGCTTGGAGGCTCCTCATTGCAGGAGTCATCTGAAAGGCTGGTGTGCTATAGCGCCAGCCGCAGGGGCGGAAGAACTGTCTGTGCTCAAAGAGGATGGGTGGAGCCCATCAAGCCTCCCTGATTGTTTTCAGAATTGCAGATGCTTTGGGAGATGGTATTAGAGCAAGCTGGAAATTGTTTACCTTGGGCCCACAAGGGAAAGCCTACCGTTTGTTTAAATCTTTATTACTAACTGGCACAGAAAGTCGACCATGCTCATGCTGCACGATTGCACAGCTGTATCTTTGATAGATAGATAGACAGCTGCAGGCTGTCACGCACGGGGCTGGTACTTTGCCCTGTGCTAATGACACGTGAGAGCTCATGATCATTCCTCTGTCAGTGTTTCCAGGACTGGTAGCCACATACAGTTTCTCTCCATCTTTTTAATCTCTTCTGCCTTGTTTCATATTGTTCTCCTCTGTGGTCTCTGCTTAGCCCATTACTGATGCCCAACAGTTATGCCTCTGTCAGAGGCACCAGCTTGCTCCCTCCCTGCAGCTTGGGATGACCTCAAGAGCTCTACAGTGCTGCTGGTGGATTGTTGCTTTCTTCTGTCCTTTAGCTGGGTACAAGGGTGATTTGTGACTTTCTAATACGCATTTGCATGTAGATGTTGTGCCTGGTGAGACATAGATCCTCAGGCTGGATATGATTGCTGACATTGGTCGTTGGGAACGAACCTTTGAAGAAATAGTAGCAGTAGAGCAGCAAGAGGCTGAGAAGCATGAACACCAAATTTTTTTGGTCAAGTTTTCCAAACTGATCAGTGTTGACCTAGTACTGCTCAACTTTGAAAGCCCTAATCCACACACATGTACTCTATGTGACAGGATCCTAAATGTGCTGCCTCTCTACTTTTCTGGAGTTCAGATACACTCTAATGTATGACCACTGAATATGTATGTATATAAGATAGGTTCACATCTAATGACAAATTTTCATTAAAAAGAATAATTATTTTTTTCAGATTTTGTTGAGATCTTTTTCTTACGCATTTTCAACAAGTGAGCTTTTCTTTCTCAAAGCAAATGCGTCATTAATATTTAATTCATATTTAAAATTAATTTATTGCTAGTTAACATACACTTGTTGACTGTACAGTTGTTTTTACAGTTCAAAATCCATCAAATGTGTGGTGGGAATGTATATATTTATTTAACTGGCCTTATAAATCACCTTCTCACATACCCACTTCTGGAAAACTTAATAGAATTTAACTTGCTTCATTTTGCAATTTTGTGTGTTTCATTTCAAGCATATTTCCTTCTATGCGAGTGAAATCAGATCAGGTTATTGTGTAGCTCATATTTGTGCACAGTTGTGACTATGTTGTGACATGCAAGTGACATACAAGATCTCGATTCTCCCTTTCCTGCTAAATTTTTATAACGATAAATTATTCATTCTGGTTTTGATTAGATTGTTGATGTAAGTTCTCTTCAAGCTGTGTTTTGTGCAGCTTTCCTTCTTGCCCCCCCCCCCACCTCTTTCATCTCGTGTTCAGCCCTGGTCACAGGAAAGAATGTATGAAAGCACCAGAGCGGCATTATCTGCAAAGGCACCAGATTTTGCATTCCTTACAAAGTAATCCTATTAATGGGAAAGTTTGTTGGCTTTTTTTATAGGCAGTTAATGAGTCTGACCTGCATTCTTTGGGCTCCTAATAACATCTTTTTAATGTAGCCCATTCCTTTCAGTTTGATGTCTGTGCTGGATTTTTAGTGGAGTTTTATGATCTTGTTTTTGGGAGGGGGTGGGCAGGGAAGACAGGTAACTGGGGACATTTTCATACTGTTAACTAGAGTTTCTGGATTTCATTTCATATGCTATTTGTAATTTTTAAACAAAAGATTTACAGCCAAGTTATTTCCTCTATTGCTAAACATGCATAACTATGCTCCATAACAAATCTGGAGTTCACCATTTTTTCCTATTACTTTCATGTATGTCTGCTTTTCTTGATGCCCTAGTTAGGTTCTACTGGAAAGTTTAAAAAAAAAAAAAAAGCTGATTTGCTTTGGGATTCCCTGTTAAAGATCAACAACTTGAGGGTATAATGAATAATGATTTGACGGAACCAGCATTGTTTTAAGAAAAGCTAAGCAATTTCACAATGTCCCCATACCCTTTTATTTATACTTTTTAACAGATGCTAGGGAGAATGAGGAGTAGTGAAGAGTGTTTTGCTTGTATGTGGACCAGCTGTATGAAGTGTTTGGATAATTGGCTCATGTATGAGTAGTCTAAGTGGGTTTTCTTTGCTGGGGGATTGGAGGTTTAAAGGTTTATCTTGCACAGCTGCAAAATGACCCAAGACACTCTGGAGGGCTCACTGATGGTAACTGAGCTTGCTTTGCTGACGGTATTTAAATATGTGCTGCTGGGAGCAAAACTGTTGAATCTGTTTGGGTTACGTTATACCAGTCCTTGCATTTTGACTGCTCCCTCTTTTAGCTCTGCTTTGTTTCTGAGAGGAAGAGGAGGGGTGGGATGTCTGCTCCCAGCTCATAGCTTACTGTTCCTTAAGATGAGTCACCTCCCTGCCAAGCCCAGTGCCACATCATTAGTGGTGACACTGGGGATTAAATGTGTCACTTCTGAATAAGGAGTTCCTGAATGCTGTTTGCGGTGCGGATTAGGTACCAGCTGCACTTATAAAAGCTTTCAGACAGGTACTTCAAATAGGCTTTCCTTTAGAACATCAAAAAGGTTGTTTCAGATGATTGGAAAGGTCACTGCTTGTGTTCTGTAATACAGGCATATTACTTGTAAATTGTATTTCTGAATCTGCTGTGACAGAAGTAACAGCAAGTGTTGCAATGCAAGGAGAGATGAGTTTGGAAATGGTTTTAAAATCCAGATATTTTCAGTTTCTGACTTAATGCTGGACTGCTGCACCTGTGCAGTTTTCCTTGTTAGTACAGATAGGCAGTGCTACCAAAGTGGCCAGTGTTAACAGTGATGAAGAGAGCTTGTAATAAGAGCCCCACAGACCTGCTTAGCTTGGGTGCTGTGCTGGAGCCAGAACTCTTGGGAAGAGGCAAATGTGGGTGTGAGACAGTAACTCACAGTAGCACAAAAGATAGTGACATAAGAAATAGATGGCAAAGTTGAGGGAAGAGCAGTAATAAAAACAAAAGCTGGTAATTGTGAGACCAATCTAAGGAAATGTAGGGTATAGTTGTCCTGACCTCCTTGTCCACAGACACTCTCCTCCAGGTCATCCATCTCCTCTTTTCGCCCAGGTAGATGCTAGGATGCCCTTGTTCTCTATCCCCAGCCCTACCTTCTCTGAGACTCACTTTTCTGAACAGTAGGACTGTAACAGTGTATTCTTCCTTCAGGCTACGACTTCTGCCAAGTCCTCCAGTGGTTTGCTGAGAGGGTTGACCGCATCATCCTCCTTTTTGATGCCCATAAGCTGGATATATCTGATGAGTTTTCAGAGGCTATTAAGTCATTCCGGGGCCAGGATGACAAGATTCGAGTGGTGCTTAATAAGGCTGACCAAGTGGACACACAGCAGCTGATGAGGGTCTACGGTGCACTCATGTGGTCCCTGGGAAAGGTGATCAACACTCCAGAGGTGCTGCGGGTCTACATTGGCTCCTTCTGGTCCCATCCTCTTCGAAACACAGAGAATCGAAGACTCTTTGAAGCTGAGGCACAGGATCTTTTCAAGGATATACAGAGTCTCCCACAGAAGGCTGCTGTGCGGAAACTCAATGATCTGATTAAGAGGGCAAGACTTGCAAAGGTAAGAAAAGATAAAAATGCTAAATGAATTGAATGAGCAGTCTCTTCTATCTCTTTCAGTGTGTCCTTTCTCACATTTCCCAATCTTTTCCTACCTATAAACTGTGTGTTTTTCCGCAAATAGATTGAATTATCAGTTTTTCAAGGAAGAGGTAGCCACTCAGGATATAGAAGCAAGTAGGAGGAAATAGAGACTTGTACTGGGTTGCCTCCCTAACTTTAGAGAACGGATTTGATGCTTCTTAGGCCATTAAAGCTATTGTTTGCTTTGTAGGGGAGTGAATATTTTTTTTTTTTTTTATACTTCAGTGAGGTAATCTTTAATGTTGCTTTTTGGAGATAAATCACTTTGTTTAATGATAGCTGGTATGTAGAGAACACTTTAAAAAAAAAAAAAAGAGAGAGAAAAGAAAGAGAGGGGCAAAAAAACCACAACCAAAACTATTCACATTGAACATTCCATATGCTTTATTGCATATTAATGCCTTAATGCATACTATCAATCAGCTGCTGTGGAAACACTTTGACTAAATGCGTTTATGTTATACCCTGGAATACAAGACTGATTGTCTTGTCACTCTTGGTGAAGCACAGATACTGATGGATTGGAGAGGTGCTTATGCATTAGATTGAAACTCTCAGATCGTATCACCTTCATTCCCAGTCACAGAGACACTTGGATGATACAGACTTTGTGTTATCATATCCAGAAAAACCCATCTCTCGTCATCCAGGAACATGACTTATGTGCCCCACTGTAGGTAGCCCCTGTCACTGTTCCCCTTGTTTTTGGCTCTGGAGGAGTACATTAATTGTGTGCAGCTTACAGTCACTAACTACTGTGCGTGGGCAGGCTCTGTGTGACAGCGCTGTGGCTGTCTACAGCTGAGTATTGAAAACCCGTTTAATTTTTTTGATCGATCTCTAGTTGTCTTTGAATGAGTGGATGTTACTTTAAAGCTTTGTGAGTTATCACCAAGTTTTGACTACCTATTTGTGAAACCTTCTGGTTATATTTTACAGTAATCTTCAGACTCCCTGCTTAACAGTGCTAGCTTCATCTGGCCTTTCTTCTCACAGCCTGATCAGAATAAGCTTTGGTTGCAGTTTGAAATATTTCTTTGCTTGTTTCTCTGATTCTGCAGTGAGTTTCTTCTATTGTAGCACTGCAGCTGCTGTTAGAATAATAGTTAAAAAAACACTGCCAAGCTTCTTGTTGTTTTGAAAAGCTCAAGAACAAAATGGAAATTGGTGATTCAAGAATTACAATTTGTCATTTGGAAAATTGAAAAGAAGGAAAACTGACCTCACATACACTTAGGGAGAAAGCTGATGGTACAAGACAAATTCTGATTTCCCATGCAGATATCAAACGGAATGTGAGTTGAATTCATGCAGTTGTCTTGGAACACATTTTCATGGGGACTTCCAAGCAAAAATGAAGAGGACTTGCACTTACATTGATATAAGAATAGTCCTGTGGGGATGTATACCACTTCCTTTGTTGGTTTAATTAACTCTGAATATAATGATCCACTTAAAAGCTCAGGCCACAAAAACACCTTTAGGGCACCCCATAGTAGATGCTTCTTTGAAAATTCCATTTAAAATAAGGTTACAGATGATGTTGTGTTAAAAGTTGCTATGATCTCAATCTGTTTTGTGGGTGTTGGCAGCTTTCTGCTTTCATTTGTTACAGTTGTTTTGGAAGTAGAAGAGTGTCAGATGGATCATCTGTAGGTGTTTCTATGTAATGTTAAATAAAAATGGCTAAGTGTGAAAACAAAAGGCAATGCTCATAAGGCATGCTAATTCAACAGGTAAGGAAGGGGTATAAACTGTTTATCTGCAGGAAAGCAGCAATGTAATCTTTCCAGTGTGGTTTTTCTATCTTCCAAACTGAACTTAAAGTACTAACTCTCAAAAGTATTTTTTTAGTGTTGCATGGTATTTTTTTTGTCCTGTTTCTATGCCACTTTGTTCCTAATCTTTTTTAAAACATGTACAGTAACTAAAAACAAAAGCAAACTTGCTGTCAAATTTGGGCATCAGGCTTTTCTCTTTAAGTCCTGTGACTCACTATCCCGTTTTGAAGACGGAACTGTTCTTATCTACAAGTAACACATGTGCGTGCTGTCAGACCTTAGACCATGGAGCATACACATGTGAAACTGTTAGTGCTTGTGAACTATAAACATACTTTCTGGTTTTGCTAGAAGTATTATTTTAAACATAAGATCCATAAAATTGCTTACAATTATTTATAAACTCTCTTAGTAATGTTGAATCAGTTCTGTCATTCTGGAGAAACGTATCTACCGTATTAGAAAATTTCATGGTTTTAAGCAGAAACCCTGCTGCTTTATGCTGTTGTTTTTTTTCTCCTCTGTAGAAATTTAGATTTACCTGAAATTAAAATGCATGCACTCTTTTTAGATATGAGGAAGTGACATTGTCTGAAAGTTGTGATCTTAAGATGTGCAAATAAAAACTGGCTATACCATTTTGCTTTTAAAATAATTTCCCCCCCCCAGTGAGCCTCCTAAATCAGCAGGGAAAGGAATGGGAGAGCGCTTCCCCTGTACAGATTGTGTAAGGTTTGAACAGAGGCACATTTTGTCATGTTTTGATAGATATTAAGTATTATACTTACACCACATCTACATCATCACTTTTTTCTACTGATGCTTTTTTGTGGTAGTCGGTCTTCCCCTAGTCTTCAAAATTTCAGCTTTTTACTGCTCAACAGTTTGATAGACATTATTATTTGTTACTTTTTTTTTTTTCTTTTTTCCTGTGTGTGTGAAAATTGTGAGTAATTTCTGTTTTGGGAACAGCTGCATCCTTTTTCAATGAAGAAGGGCCTGGGTTCTGTGAAGATTTACGATGTTGTGGAGCTCATTTGACTTCAGTGGTCCTGGCCAGGTCAGAGCTTAGGAAAGCAGTTTGATTATTTCACCTGTGACAGGTGTGCGTTGGTTTTGAATGAACACTGCCCTTACGCTTCCCTCCTGTGTGCAGAATGACTATCGGTGGCCACACAATGAACTGAATAAGAGAACTCACCTCAGTTAAAAAGTGCAACCACCATTTCTGTCCTGGACCAGGTCACTTGCTGTGTGGCCAAGCAGATCCTTAAGGTGGTGGAAGGGCGGTAAAGGGGAAGAGATGAATGGTTCAGGGTAAGGGTGGAAGGAGGGTGCGTGGGCAGGATGGATATTTTGGTGGCAGTGCTGGATTATCTTGATCACAGCAGATGGGAAAATGTAAGAACTCTGCAAGTCTCAATGTGTTTTCAGACTAGGCATCCTAAATTAATGTCTCTCTTTATATGCTGGAAAGGTTCTACTTTTCTCCCTAAGTCTTCGCAAGGCAGCCATGCTACGCTGTTCTTATAGTATACTGACTGCTCTGTCATCCTCTGGTGGCTGTGTAGCTATAGGTGCTCACTTTTCTGGGTGCAAATAGGTAGGAATGCAGTGTCACTTCAATTAGATAGCCCTGCCACTTAGCATACTTGGATTACTTGAGGCATTATCCCATTTCTACCCACAGAAAAGAGATGGGGTGAGTGGAGTTACAAACCTCTACCACTGATACAGATGGACCAGTATGGCTAGCACTCTGTGTATGATCCATGCTTGTCGGGATGTGGTTTTGGGGCCTTGCTTTTTTCTTGGTAGTGATAGAATGCCGTACTGTGCTGCTTTTAAAAGAAATCTGTATTTCTTTTAAATGTGTTTGCTTTCTCTTTGCCCCTCAAAGGAGTGCTGAAACCAACAAAAGCTAGTTGGTGACTGTTCATGTAAACTTGAAGTTCCAGAAACAATCGTTGATAATATCTTACACTTGAACTGACTTAGGGAACCATATTATTTCTGTTTCTTTTTATGACCTAGGTGAAGAACACTAGTGTTAAGTGTAGATAAGCAGTAGTCTTGATTTCAGTTTTTCTTCTTCTTAGGTTCATGCTTATATCATCAGCTATCTGAAAAAAGAAATGCCTTCTGTATTTGGAAAAGAGAACAAGAAGAAGGAACTGATCAGCCGATTACCAGAGATCTACATCCAGCTGCAAAGGGAGTACCATATCTCAGCAGGAGACTTCCCTGAAGTCAAGAAAATGCAGGTAAGATGATAGATTACAATTCCACTGAAATAGTACAAACTTTCCACCAGGATTTCCAAATTAGAAAAGGTAGGACAGAGTGTCTCAGTGTTACAGTTTAGGGTCTTCAGCGATAGAGCTGAAGTGACAATCAGTGATGTATCTGTTGTGGGGTTGGCATGCCTTGGAAGCAGTGCAGAACAAAAAAAATTGTAACTTGCTTAGTGTGCATCCACTGATACAGGGCTATAGAAATTGCCATAAGGAATCAGATGTTCCGTCCTTTTAGTCAATTTTTGGTCCTTCATGGCAGATAGTACTAAACATTTTGTGCAAATAAAAAAGGCAGTGGACACTTGTAGGTTAAGCTGGTTCTTGTTTTGTGTCCTAAGTGTGGGTCCTAAATACTGCTTTTGTAATGCTGTCATATACTTGTGGAGGAAAAGATACCCTTAGTGTCACGTATTATTCATTTTTGCCCTACTCTGTTCTTGCTCTTACTGATACTGTTTGCCAGTGAGTAATAAAGGCAATGTGTTACCTGAAAAGTCCAACTTAAAACCTATCTCTTCTGAAAATGGTGCCTTTCAGCTTTTTTCTGTCCTTTTGAGCTTTTATTCTATGAAGAGGGAGAGAAGTTCTCAATTTAGACTCTTATAGTTACTTTTCAAATACCTTTTGTCTCTTGTTCCTGTTCTGATCTTTATGCAGTCTTACTACCAACTTCCTGTCACTTCTTCACCTTTTTATTTCTGTCCTCTGATTTGAGGTGAGTTGTTTAGATGTAGGGTATTCTAGAGGAAAACAGCTAATCTTGTGCTAGCAATGCTTTTCAATTTATTCCTCAAGCCTCAATTTGCAACTTTTGGACCTTGGATCATAGGCTTCTTAAAAGGCCTTTGATTTAGAAGATAATTGAACTTGGAAGCTGAAGAACATGATATCAGGAGTCTGCAGTTTGGTCTGACCGTGAGCTAGTCATGAGTATGATGGAGGATGTTTTCCAGGTTGACACTTGTGTATCATTCTGACAATTTATGTGGTACGCTTACGCTGCTAATCGTACAGAGTGATGACTGGGTGATTAACCTATCTATAGGGATGCATAAATTTTTTATGAATGAAAATATTTAATTTGGGGATCAATTATTGGCATTAGACAGTAAATTATAGATGCACAAGATCTGTTTCAGTTAGGTTTTATTTCAGTTAGGTTTTCACAGGAAGGATTGTTGGAAGGGTTTCATGAGTTAGGACATTAAAAGGGGCTTGTGGGGAAAAAGTTGACTCTTTCTTCCCTGGCCACTTTTGTTGGTGGTGAGAAAAGAGAGAATGAGGTGATCACTTGTCAGTTTGAATATTGAAACAAAATTTGAATGGAACTTTATCAAACTAATTGTACATGTCGCTTAGCCTCAGCACCAGATGGCAGCAAATACATACTTGAGAGATCAGTCACTCTGTAATGGGGAGCAAAATGGTGAGAAAACAAAATTGTGCCAAACCAGATAGCAGATTTGACCTTTGCTTTCTAAGATTCATTGCATATCATAAATTTATACTGATCTGTTGCTGTAAATCAGGTGATTATGTATAAATGTCACCTGAACAGTGTGATGGATGTTGGTTGGTGATTTTCCTATAAGAAAACCAAAGTTCTGCGTGCATGGGCAAAACCATTTGCCTGTGATTCGGGTTTCTTGGATTCATATCATTATAGTTCTGATATATATGGGAGCAGCTCCCTGAGGTGATAGATGTGATTTGTTAAAGCAGTTTAACACCATATTGGGGTGGCGGGGGGTGGGGGGCAGGGTGTGTGTTTGGTGTTTTTTTTAAGCTTCCACTGTAACTCTCTCTTCCCGGCTAGCATTTTGCATGTAGAAATAATTTAATAATTGCTTAAATTGCCTAATAATTGCCTAAAGCATTTTTAATTTTCCAGTGGTCTGGTCTAAAACATGCTTGGGCTTGTGCAGGAATAGCACACATTTAAGCACCTAGTTAAACATCTCGCTGAGGTTAGTAGGAATTTATGTACAGCGTGTACAAACACAGCAAGGACCGTATGACTTCATGAGTTCTGGCAATACTTTTTTGTAAAAATGCTGCTGCTGTTATCCCAATTCAGTTTTTCTTTATTGGTGAAGGACACTTCTTCATGACCTAACCACAAACAAGAAGTTTAATCTATAAAATCAGATGGGTCCTGCAAACTCTTGGATTTATTTTTAACTTTAAACACTTGCATAAGTGCTAGCAGGACTGAGAACCTACTTGCATGCTTTCTTTGATGATAGGAAGAAAATCGCCAAATGGAAAGGTTTTAGGTAACTTACATCAACTGCCATGTTTTTATGCATTGCCATTTTGAAAATTGTATTGTAAATGTAATTTAACAGATGAGCTCATACACTGTTGCAAAATGGTCTTGGTGTGTTTGATCAATATATTGGGCGTACACATATGTCAACTTTGCTTCTCTTTCAAGAGGAATTTCAGTTATGAAAACTGCTTTGAAAGATGACAGATTAGTTTAATTTGAAATCCATTCTTTAACCTTTTCAGTGTATTGGAAATGTTTCTAACTGCTGCTACTGAAACCTTTGTCATTGACAGGAGCTGCTGGAGACTTGTGACTTCACTAAATTTCATTCTTTGAAACCAAAGCTAATTGAAGCTGTGGATAACATGCTGGCCAACAAAATTGCCTCCCTGATGAGCCTGATCAGACAAGAAGAAAGCAATATGCCCACAGAGATTGTACAAGGTGGAGCATTTGATGGCACCATGGCAGGACCTTTTGGTCACGGATATGGAGAAGGTGCTAAGGAAGGAGCTGATGAAGACGAATGGGTTGTTGCCAAAGATAAACCTGCTTATGATGAGATTTTCTATACTCTGTCACCAATCAATGGCAAAATATCTGGGATTAGTGCAAAGAAGGAGATGGTGACTTCTAAACTACCCAACAGTGTCTTGGGGAAGATCTGGAAACTTTCAGACTGTGATGGCGATGGGATGTTGGATGATGAGGAATTTGCATTAGCAAAACATCTCATCAAGATTAAACTGGATGGATATGAACTGCCTGGCACGCTACCTTCCCACCTGGTGCCACCATCTCACAGGAAACCTTTCCAGACAGCGGAGTGAAAAACACAAGGAGAAGAATGAGGATTTTCGAAATCTTTAAACAAATGTATTGAAACCACCAAAATTTGAAGTTAGGCTTAGAACTTTAAACCTCGCAGCATATTTCATGCAAGTTACTGAAATTAGAACACGGTAGCAGGGAAACATTCGTGTAGCTGTCCCTGCTGACCTTCACTCGGATATGCTCAGATATCACAAGTGCCTTGTATAGATCTATCATAACGTGAAAATGTTTTCATAGTCCTGCTTCTGTGTCTTGCTACCTTTACAACCATAAAGCAGAAGGGACCATGTATAAAAATCACTGACCTTCACCAAACCCAAATACTTATCAACCGTAAGTTTCTCAAAACTACTTTAAATAACGCAAAGAAGATCAAAGTGTTGAATTCACCTGCCTATGCAAGTAACGTTTGCTATGCTAAAAACGTACTTTAGGCATGGAGTGAATGTCAGCGTCTTTATAGTTTAAGAAAAGGCTGATAGAAAAGGAAATTTTATTTTTGTTCTTCTTATTATTTAATGTAGGGGGTTAGAAAAAGAGAAGAGTAATAGGGAGAGTCTTTTAAGTGCTCAGAATACAGACTTGTTTTTTTAAAACTTTACTGGTTATAGCTAGAACTGCAACATATTAAAATGATTCTTTGTGTCTGTCATCATTGTGTCTTGTTATCTGAAGAACTGCTTCTTCAGTTTTATACAGCACTATATACTCAGTGTTATCATTAGAAGAACTGAATCTCCTTTGTTCCTTGGATTTGGAGTTTCTCTTGAGGTTTTGGTTTAGCTGTTCTGCAGACAATAAATTCCTGAATTGTTGAAAGCGACAGCAGAATGTTTTCATAAGCTAAAAAAAAAAAAAGAAAATCACATTCCCTTTGAAATCAAACCTCGTTTTGTGTTCAGAAAAGGTGCATTGCTAAAGTCAGCCTCTTCAAAGCACATCAAAATGTCTTGTTTAAGAAAAGTTTTTAACAATTTATTTTGCCAACATGTAGCTGACAACCACAAAAGAGATTCGACTCCTATCGTGACAGATTTGAAAGACAGGGAGGCTAACAGGAATCTTTACACTGACTGTAATAAATGATAGACTGGTCCCTCCAGATATTATTCCTTTACTGAAAACAATCTGTGAAAGGAATGGATGCCTAATAAACATCAGTTTTTCTAATAACACAATCAAAGTTGAACATATCGGCTGCTTACAACTGTGTTTTATCAGTACCTTAAAAGAATGCAAATTTTTGGCCCTGTGAACTTGAGTCTTTAGGGAGGGCCAGTTCTTTCTAAAATGAAGCTTGTGATCACTTTTGCTCTATGCATGTGAGCAGGAATTGACTTGTATTCCATTTGTAGTATGAAGTACCCTAAGGTACTGTAGTTTTGAACACTTTTTCTTTGAGTCTCAGTAAGTGGTAGCAGTAGTGCCTTCTGAGACAGTGCAAGCCAACAAGTGTTTTAGCATCCTTGCAGTAGGGGTGGGGAGGGAAGTAGTTTGGGTATGGTCTCCCAGTTAAGATTTTAGTCTCACTTATGTGTTCAGAGTTGTAGGTGACCTAACAGCCTCAGCTGCTTTATTCAAATCATACATTTGTAGGTTGTCAGTCAGGTTTAACACTTCAGAACTTTCCAGACCTCTTATCTTTCTGCATCTGTTCTATTCTGTTGTAAAATTACTATGAACTTTGCCAGGGCTCTACCGTGGAAAAGCAATTAAGCTATTTTCAGTAATGACAGAAGAACACCTTTACCTTGCCAGGCTTCTGGTCCTGTATCAGGGATATCCTAGCATAGTTAAATTGTTCTTGAGGCCTTGCTTGCCTTTTTTTATTTTTTTTTAAATTCTTGGATTTTTCTCATCATTCAAGCATACCAGCTTTATTTCTGTTAGACCTAATTAGGAGCCACGTTAGCCTTAGTTCATCTCTGTGCACTTTAGAGCTGTGAAACTTGACCGTGAGTCTACCTGTGTGAATGTATACCTGCAAAGTAACTGATTTTCTGTTTAATTTATTCTTCGTTGAGCAAAAAGTAGTCTGTAGACTACTCTATAGAGTTCTTAAAAAAAACCAAGCTGCAGAAGCAATGGTGTATGCTTGTTTGTGTGTAGTGTCTGCAGTCAGTAAGAAATTCGTACACTAATGTCCAACCTGACAGGAGAAAGAAAGCAAGCTTGTGCACTGTGACTACTCTAGTGTGGATGAAGCTGAGAGGATCTGGGAAGTTGCTGATCTTCTGACTCTCTCTGCCTTGCCTTGCTCTTCAGCAGTACAGGGTTCCAGGGCTGGACTCGTGTTTGAGTTCCCACCATATGTAGCTTCCAGGGGTGATGCTCCAAATCCACTGGAGCCATGGCATCCCATGCCAGCAGAAATATCCCACTTGAGTGAGAGGAGCAGGATAGTTTCTCAGTGATTTTGTTTTATTTTTCTAGCCTTATTGGTAGTAAAATGGAAAACATAGCCTTTTCTTCATTCTCCATGACAGTGTGCTAACTTGGGCTTAGGGGAGACAAATTGAAATGCATTATTTTGATGAGTTAAAATATTTTGTCTAGAAGGGGTTGAAATGTTTTCTTGGGTTTTGGGTTTGGGGTGGTTTTTGTGTAGAATTTGGCAGGGAAATGCATGAAGCATGTGTAGGAGTAGAGGTGGATCTTCTCTGTTTATCTGGAGGAATAGAGGTGTTTCAGGATTGGCATGCAGAGCTGCATGAGTAATTGTATTTCTACATAGATGGTGCACTAGCATCATACTTCGTTGATAGGCGTAAAGTACACTTCATATGGACTTCAAGCAGCAGTTTCTTGCACAGCTCAACTGATACAGTAGGTTGCTGTTGCTCAGGGGAAGGGATCTCTCTTTCTCACTACCTCCTTGCAGACCTGTGGGCCTACTGCATTTGCCTTGCTGGCTCTCTGTCTTGTCAGACCTTGCAAGCCCGTTCACTTGGTTAAAACAGCCACACGCAACAGTGTGGGTAATGTTCTGTGGAGTTCGTGAGTCCGTGTTTTAGCAGCATGAGAAGTGAGCAGGATTACCTTCTGTCCTGAAATTGTGCTCTAAGTAGTTATTGGGAACAGCAGCATGAAGTAACCTTTGGTGTTCGGTTTGATGTTACTAATATTGCTGAAGAAAGACTAAAATGTTGGATTTGTTGGCTATTTTATGCCTAGGATGTTGATTACATTTGCTGCGAGACCATTCAAAACTGTCAATAATTTGTCCCGTGAAATCAGTGCCCACTGGTGTAATTGCCACCATAAACCAAAGTAGAGACTGCTGCTTTTACCTCTTCCCCAGCTATTCAACAACACAGTTTTAATTCCCAACCCCGATTCTGTTCCCACAGAAATTAATTGAAAAGTTGTTGTAGAATGGAACGGAAAATGTGGGGCTACTGCTCATAACCACACTACAGGACAGCAAGAGCCTTTTAAAGCTGTGACACCTTGAAAATGGTGAGTTTACAAAGATTTTTTATGTCAGGATGAGGTCCCAGTTGTTAGTTGGGGGTGATGTGGATTTGTGTGGAACCTTATCTCAAATCAGCAGTATCCGGTCCCTGACTTTCAACAACATCATTCATCCCCAATACTTGAAATGTGCCCTCTTCTTGCTTGCTTCCCTTCACAACGTGCACTCACTTGGTCACTCTTTTTATTGTTGGTATTCAAGCAGAGTTTGCAGTTTGTGGTTTGATGGGTATGTGTAACTTAGCACTGAGAGAATGAACATGAACTTTGTTTTCTACTTCACATACTCACTTTTTCAAATATTTTTGTTAAATACTGTGTTTTCACTTCAAAGGCACTCTAATTTTTGAGGGAAGGCTTGGACTGTGTAGTGTGCTTCAGTTTGTCCGACTAGGCAAACAAAGTTGTAAGTCCATTATTGTTGCACTTTTATTACACAATATATTCCTTGCAGATACTGTAATATATTTTAATATGCTTTGTAATAATTTTTAGAAAGTGGTGGTAAAAACTGCTGATTTAATAAACTAATATTGAACTACCTGAGATATTCTTTTGTAAGCTTCTTTCTGGAAGGTAATCTTTCAGTGACCAGAATTTGGTAATCCTGCTACTTAAGGCTCATAAGCATAGTAGGTATTTGGCAAGCTGCTTATTTTCCCACCTCGGTTTATGTATCCATAATAGGTTATGGCTGCTCCTCTTCTGTGCCCTTGAACTTGTTGCTGAAATTACTGCCCACGCTAAGGCTTGACTCCAGAATTACATTTATATTTAAACAAAAAAAAAACCACCAGCCTCCAACGCCTCTAAGTAATTAGCTTTTTATAGCAGAATGTCATTTTGGAGTTTCTGAATGTCTACGTGCAGAAATTTCTTAAAGTCCAAGTGTGGAAGATTAATCCACACAGGAAATTTTTCTTTAAAGCTTGGAACTTGAGCTGAGAGGTACTTCTTTTCGTTTCAGCGGGGGTACTAATCTTGGAAAATCAGAGTAGATTAAATAGTTTAGCAAAAAGTACTTTGGTATGTTTGTCCCAAAGAATGCAAGGGCATCTTCCACACTGTGCTGCCCAGTACTTAGAAATACCAATTATAGAACATTAATTTTAATGTCATCCTTAAATTAATTCCTCCTGACCCTCTCCTTCTCCTGTATACACACAACATACTTGAAGCCTCTCCAGAGGTACATCTGTGCCCCCAGGAGGCTACAGTTTGGCTATTGCGCCTACTACTGTCAGATCTAAGTTGCTGCAGAGTTAAAAGGATTTGTATGTAGCAATGTTAGCAAGCGGGGCTGTTATGCTCGTGGTGGTCATGCTGTGTCACATGAAAGCAAGTGTTTCATGTACAAACAATATGTTGTGGGATCCTGGAGGCTACATTGCTCTTGAATTGCAAGGCCTTGTTTGAGCTGTTCCTTACAAAAGTCAGAAATAGTTTGGGGAAGTTGAGGTTTTTAATGGGGTTTGGAAGTGGGGGGTTGGTTGTTTTTTTTTTTAGTAGAATGGTGTTTTAC